AACTAAATCCGCAAGCATTGACTAAGAAATGTTTCTTCGACGTGACTGTATCATTAGCCGCAACACACTCCGGGCGAGCGCTTTGTCTTGTCACTATTTTTAAGCGCCGACCATGTACACTTTTTTCGGATACGGCTTCTTTAATTACCTTTTCACGCCATAGGATGATGACATGATTGTGTAAAAGTTGACGCCTCTATCAGATCAGGAGCGAAATACGATAAAAAATTTTACCCAAGTAAGCCACTGGTATCCAGCAGAGAATGCGGACTAAAAGTAAGGATTCTCTGCTGGATACCCAGACTTTTTTTGGTTGCTAACGGCGTGAGGCTCGTTATGAGAGTTTGGAAGCTCTACTTCATCTCCAAATTATTCTCATTTAACTCCCGCTGCCTCCTCTTCTTCTGAAGGTGTTGAATGCTTTGGAGTTGACGCCAGCCTGGAGAAGAAGCTTTTTTCTGGCTTTCTTTTACCCATTCCTCCCTTGAGAAAAGTCTCTCCCCTTCCTCGTTTCTTGCACGTCGCATATCCTCTGGAACTTCTTTTGGAGTCAGTTTTTTACCAGTCGCTATCCTGAAGTCAAACTTTGTCGTTACATAGGCCTTTAAATGCTCTGCAAAACGGACATTCCCTGAACTTGTTGCCAACGCCCATCCTTCACACAATTCTGAACAACTGCCAAACAGTAGGTCCTCTTGCTTTGCTGTGTCTTTCTTTGTCTTCAAATTGGTGGTGGTAGAAAACTGCATAGCCCAGTCTCCTTAGAGGGAATCATACAAATTTGCCTTAGGCAGGCTTGTGGAGGATTGGTGGTCCCCAACATCTAGCTGGAGTTCCAAATCAGACGATGTGTCGAACGATTTGTCACATCCTGGCTCATGACAATCAAATACACCAATCTCTTCAACGGCTTTTTCCTCTGTTTCTTTCTTTTTTCCATTGTTCTACTTTGCAAGGAAAGAATCCATGTGTATTACAACCGTTTTATAAGAGAGGATGGACTAGATGTTTCTTGTACACGGATTTAGTTGCAACCGTTTTACCCTTGCCGATACTGTAAGCCCTCCAGATTCGGACCTTACTCTTTTCGAATCGAAAGTTGTGATATTTGCTAATCCCTTGTACTTTATCGA